CAGCGGAACCATTTAAAATAGAGTTCTTCCTAAATTTGAATTCTAATTTATTCAAAAACAAGTCACAGTTTCACTTGATTTTTTTTACACACAAATAGGGTAACTGGTTAGGCTTTCGATTTGGGAAATAACAAATTTTGCGCTAAAATGAATAAAAGGCGTTTTGTCAGCTTACGGCAGAGTTGTAGCAGGCTCGCATCTCGTACGTGTGTAAATGTTCCATTCTTTTAGTGTTTTAGCGCCTATAAATTACGGCTGCTTGCACTGGATGCTTTCCTGGAAGTTGAGGTTGTGTCCTTGGGAAAGACACTTTACACGAATTTTCCTCTCTTCACCCAGGTGGGAATGGGTACCCGGCCATAGACAGCGAAATATCTTGTCAGTTTGTTAGTGTTTAAGCGCCTATAAATTATGGCTGTTTGTACTGTGTGCTTCCCAGGAAGCTGTTGAAGTTGTTTCAGAATGCTCTCAGGTCTGCCGGGGTAATGTTATAGATTGTGAAGCACATAGAGCTTGCTGTTGAGCGGGGATTTGCGCTATACAAATGCTATCTAATTATTATTATTATTATTATTATTATTATTATTATTATTATTATTATTATTATTATTATTATTATCATTATGACTGGGTGAAGATTGCCACCTCATCCCTGGTCCTCTTGTCAGTACGGGTCAAAGGTCACCGCCTCACCTGTCGTGTTGTCTAAGTCAAGGTCATGGACGAAGGTCACGGCTTCACCTTACCCGCTGTCTGTATAAAGTCAATTATAAAGGCCATCGCTTGACCTTCCCTGCTATCTGTACAAGGTCAAATAAAAAGGTCTTCTCTTGACCTTCCCTGCCATCTGTACAAGGTCAAGGACGAAAGTCGCCGTTTCACTTGTCCCTTTGTCGATACAAATTCAAGGACGAAGGTCACCGCTTCACCAGCTGTCTCTCTGCCCAGACGAGGTCAAGGTCACTACTTATACAACACAAACGTTACTGTCAGTCCAGGGTGAAGGTCACCACTATATCTGTACCGGTGTCGTGAGCTGCATGAAGTGAGAGATGATCTCCGGAAACGTTTGAAGGACAATATATACTCTACTCGAGAACATGGCACAGCGTTATAATTGTCGTCATATTCTACGAAGTCAAAAGGTCAAGATCACATAATAAGCTTTCACAGCGTCGAAAATTGTATCAAAAACAACGTATATCACTGTACAGTGTACAGTATGTCAAAGAAAAAAAAAGTCAAAGTGGACGGACCAAAAGGGTGGAGGGTTGTGATGGATTGTAAATGTTCTGTGGTTTACTCCACTTTTCAATACGAGGAATGTCATTTGTGGACGGGCTGCTTCTGTGTTGTGTGTCAGTGTGCTGTGTGTAAGTGCTATATGTGAGGCAGCGTGGTGGAATCAGGCTCTCGTCAATTTTTGGGCATGTAGAGTTATTGGTATCATCTTAAAGCTTGTTCACTTGTCTTTA